CTGGGCCACTGTGCTGTTCCCTATACTAACCTACCAAGATATCCTGCCATCGAGTCTCCTTGTTCAGAGACAGCACCACTGCAGATCTTATTCCCACACGTCAGGTGAAGCCGCCCAAAGTCTGCAAGGTAAATACAGGGAAAGTCCTTAAAATATCCCTCTATAAAATGAGGGAATCCTACTTCAGTTTTGTTTTGTTTTTATGATTTATTGTTAGGGCACAGGAAACGTTTTGTTTGTTCTTCTTCCTAGGAATTATAAATTTCTCAGCTTCCTTTCTTTCAAGGGGAAGTTGGTCCAAACCCACAACTAGAACCCCACATGGAAATTCAACATTGTTATTTAAAGCAATAAGATTGAAGAAGCAGTTTTTCATTTCACCTAGCATCTTGTCAGAGAGCTAGAGTCTCTCAGCCCTCTGGTCTCACAATTAACATGTTGGGACAATCTAAATTAAAAGGGGTTTTTTTATTAATTAATTAATTAAATAGGGTTTTACTCTCACATATACTAACCCATAATAGGAAAATCCATGAGGCTCAACACCCTGGAGTACCCCCCCTCCAAAGAACCTCTAAAAGGGGGAGGGAGCTATAAGAACACAAGCTCCAAAGACTCCTCTACCTACCATCCAGGTGAGGCTACACAATAGACTTAACCTCTCCAAGGAGAGTATTTGCATCTGCACAATAGAGATGTAATGATACCTACCTCATAAGGTTGTTGTAAGGATTAAATGAGAATATACATCTATTGTACTTACCACAGTGCCCTACATGTTTACTATGGGCTTCATTTTCATAGCCAGGCAAGAATAAAAACTCCCTAAGCTCAAGTATAAATGATGCCACACCAAACAGCGTACAAAGTCACTGTGCAAGTCCTGATGGCTTACATTCCTTTATCTGAAGAACTTTATATGTCATAATATACAATAGACTATTTGCATATTCCCAGGACCAGCTCTTGTTTCACTTTTTTTGTAGAGCCCCTAAAACTTTGTGGCAGTTCATCTTGCTCCATGATGAAGCATTTTCTTACAAGTCCAGTGTCCAGTTGACTTTTAATCTTTATTAGTCAAAATCATGAAATCCAACTTTGTTTCCATGTTTCATTGGGAATGCAACTAGAAAAACAGCTGTGGTGATGGCTAGCTGACTTTTAGGCTAAACTCAGCTAAAGGATTTTGCCTAGAAATCTCCATTTTGCTCAAGAAAAGCCCAGTATCTCTCAGAATTCCAGAAACACCAGATCACCCCCCAGAGCATAGGGAAGCCTCTTCTAGCCTAGGATGTGGAAACTCCTAAGACTGCCAGTATCACTTGGCCCAACTGGAACTGGCTAGTTCTGACCTTTGGAGAAAGGAACCACAAGGGAGACAGGCAGGCTCATGTACTTGGTCATGGCTGGCTGTGAGCCCTGGATCTCTAGGGTCTGAGTGCATCTTACAATATATGGAATTCACCCCAGGTGCTTAATAGTAGAGCTGGCAGTTAGGTGGTCCTTACATCCTCATGCTTTAAGGGAGAGGCTGAAGCTGCCAGCAAGACCTGTTTATTCTCCCTACAACTCCTCCTCCTACTCTCCCAAAGTTGGGTTTATTTTCAGTAAGAGATTCATATCTGCAATGGGACTGAGCAAATGCTGTGGTTGAGTAATACCTGGAAAAGGGTATTACTCAAGATAGAATTCACAACCAACCAACAAACCAAGCCAAGAGGTTCACACTTTAATACCTGCCTTCCTTGACCTTGGTAATTTGGAGGGGAACTTTCTAGTCATCACTGCTCTCTCTTGCCTGTATCTCTGCCCATTTGCTCCCTAGATTTCCACCTCCAACTCCCTGTATATCCTTCCTTCTCTCCCTTTCAAATAGAATCTGAAAGCATAACAACATAGAGCCAAAAAAAAAAAAAAAATGCAAACACAATGCTAATAACACACACTTTATAATAATTCTGCAAAATAATAATTTAGATGTGATCTCCTTGGAAGTGAGGCACATTCATGGTAAAGAATGTAGTTCAAAGACCCAGCACAAATATATATTGAAATGTTCATACTATTTCTTATGAAAGCAGAATTGAAAGGCCCTGAGTCATATTACAACAGGCATAGCTTTTCTCTCTCTCTCTCTCTCTCTCACTCCCCCCCCCCTTGTGTGTGTGTTTTGTTTCTTTTCTTTTGTCATTGAGATAAAGAGAGGTACCAGTACCTCCCATTCAGGAGCCCATTATGACCAATGAACCCATCACAACCAGAGAATCTTCTTTCCCACAAACCTCATACTATCACATCACAGAACAAAGGCAGGAGGCTCCATCCTTTACATTTATTCACTGATGCAAGGATTCTGCCCACTCCTTACCCACTGTCTGATTTCTCACCAAAGGAACATTAGCAAGTTGAAAGATTTATATTCTGTGAAATATTTCACTTGTCATCAGTCAGGGGCTCCAAGCTCCCTGGATGTGCTGGTCACTTCCAGGAAGACTCCCTAAGCTTCCCTCATAGGCAAGGCCACACTGCTCCCAAGTGGCTTCTGTAGAGAAGCAGGAAGCCAGAAATGGCTATGACTGGATGCTCTTCAGACTCACCAGGGCCTGCCTCACTGTTAAAGAGCCCATCTCTGTAAACCCAGCCCTAGAAACTTTCAAGTGGTCAACACATTGGGGATCTCAGCCTCTCACAACTCCAGGAAGGCCTTTTGTCGTGTCAAAGAGGGCAGTCATTATATATTTTTAATACACCAAGAAAGCTTCAGGCTGGTCTAACAAAACAAAGTCTAGCATTCAACCTAGGTTTCATAGTAGTGGGAGTCTGTTAACATACAAGGGTAAGGAGGCCCTCCCCACCTCCCCAAAAAAAAGGCAAAAAGGAAAGAGAAGGCCAAAGTAATTGGAGACTAAAAATGCAATTATCAGTACCTATTGCATAGGACTGTTTGCACCCCAGAGGCAGCTCCTTACTCCTTATGAATCTACTTAGTTTCTGAAGGTAAAGCAGTCTTAATAAGCAAAATCTCCTTCAAGCTTGTCTTTTCTCAACAATTAAAAATGCAAGCTATCTTTATAATTAGTAATTCTTGTAATTTTGTAATTTTGATTGTTACTGTACCCCAAAGGGGACTGACCATTATTTCTAATACTGTGATCAGTCGTGCTCAAAGTTTAGAGCAATATCACCTCATTAATTCTCAATTGACAGGAGAAGCTTCGTAAGATAAGATGCCCCCCCAAAAATTTCTCAGAGATACCTCCAAGCCCTTCCAATGCCTGAATCACCTGAGGAATTCTTAATGTTCCAAAAACGCCCAGCCGCACTCCAGGTCAATTAAATCAGAACCTCTGCAGGTGGAACCGGCCATCAGTGTTGTCTGAAGTTCCACAGGGGCTTACAACCCGCAGACAAGTGTAAGAACCACTCCCTTAGACTGGGATTCTTGTTTCTAGCTGCATGTAAGAATCAACTGGGGCAACTCTAAACAATATCCACTCCACGACCCCACCCCAGAGCAATCGAAACACAATCTCTGCTAATGGCGCCTGAGTGTTTTCAGCTCCCAGGTCATTCTGAAGTTACGGTATTTGATTAAATGGTTTCATTACAAAAACGTTTTCAAAAAAAGAAAAAAATGAGAAGTAAAAACATATATTTTAAACAGGCATAATACCAAATCCTACCTTTCAGAAATAACCACAAGTTAGCCACTTTAGCTGAGGTAAAGAACGGGGCAATGAGAAAATATGTAAATAAAAGAATTCGGACTCACAGCTCTTGAATTCAAAGTCTCCACCACCTTCCCAAACTCCCCTCAAGCAGTTCGGGGGCTGAGAGGCTGCACCCCGCGGCGCTCAAGCCCGTATATACACCTGCACGCACAGAGGCGCACGTGCGCGTACACGCGCTCATGCACACACGGATAGACCGTCCTCTAAACCTGGTTTGGGGAGACTCTGCCGTCCTTTTCATCAGCAAGGGGGCGTTTTATAATTTCATTTTGTGGGTGCCTAAATTACAAACATTTTGCTCACCAAAGTAGATTTATGAAGTAACAATTACCTCATTTGGCCATTTTTGAAATTAATCATAGGGTTATGTAACTCCCAACCAAAGCTACCGATTAGAATAAAATAACCCGAGCCCAGCACCAAGTTGTTATAATGCCATCCTAGAGAAAGAAAAAAAAAGGTGATGCCTTTTGAGATTGAGCAATTTACCTTAGTGTTTTGTTTTGTTTTGTTTTAAGAAATTTGAAAAACTAAAATACAGGAAACAAATCACTACCATTGAGAGCCTGGGGATACTTGAGAGGGAAAAGGAAATAAGATGGATAACAAATTTCCCTACAGCTGTAGGTTCAAAGGAGGGGGGAGTATAAGCACAGGGTTCCACTATAATGCCACAATTGTTAAGAATTTTATTTTGTCAATAATTATTTGTAAATCTTTGGCCAAATCAAGCTCTTATCTCTGGACCATATTTTCCCATTTGTAAATGAAAGGATTAAGTCTAAGGCAGGGTTTCTCAACCTTGGTACTACTGACATCTTGGACAGGATACTTCTTTTTTATGGGAGCTCTTCTGTGCATGGAGGATGTCTGGCAGCATCCCTGGTGTCTACCCACTAGATTCCAGTAGGATACACTTTCCCCTGGCCCAGTTGTTAACTATCAAAAATGTCTCAAGACATTGCCAAATGTCCCCTGAGGAGCAAAATCAGCCCTGGTCAAGAACCAGTGGTTTAAAGTAATTTTTAATGTCTCTTTATTTTTAAAAGTTCGCAATGTGAAAACTCCGGGAAGACAAATTGGACATATCAGGGAATGTGCACATAAAAATCCAAAGATGAGAATGTGTGAAATTATCCTGTAAAGCAGAGGTTCTCAATCTTGGATGAATATTAGAATTACCTGAGGAGCATTTCAAATTCCTAGTCTCGAGGACCCAGAGCACGGTCGGGCATCCACATTCACACCACAGGTGCTCCATCTCCCACCATGAGCCACAATTCCCAGCACTTCTTCCTGGGTGCCCACAACGGCATCCCCCCAACCTATGAGATGCTCAAGGAGGAGCACAAGGTGGCTGTACTCGGGGTGCCCCAGAGCTCAGCTCCCGTGACAACCACTGTGATCAACATCCGTAGTGAGACAGCCATGCCCACCATCTTCATGAACTGGTGCTGCCTGGGCTTCATGGCCTTCGCCTACTCCGTGAAGTCTAGGGACCGGAAGATGGTGGGTGACATGTTTGGGGCCCAGACTTATGCCTCCACTGCCAAGTGCCTGAACATCTGGGCCCTGGTCTTGGCCTCCTTCTGACCATCTCATTCATCATTTTTTTTGTCACTGGATCACTGATGATTTCCCAAACAATTTCAGAGATCATAAAACATTATGGAGGGTACTAGTAGCTGCCAGTGGCCTGAGGTTGTCACCTCTGTCACAGCGTTTTATGTACGTGTCAATCTACCATTGTAGTCAATAAAGCACTTGTGTGTGAAAAAAAAAAAAATTCCTAGTCTCAAGGTCAAACCGCTGACGAATTAAATCAGAACTCTGGGGGTTGAAAAATGTTTGGGATTCCAGTGGGCAGCAGTTTGAGGACCACTGGAGAAGATCTTAGTATGAGACAGAAATAACAATAAATCTGTTCATCATTTCTCATTCTGGTAATACTTCAATTCAATTAGCAAGAAAACCAAAAATCCAGTCTATGCTGGCATTTTCATAACACTGGGAAACAGGCCATCTTAAATCAAGCCAATCTCAAACTTTCACTTTAAATGAGGCTTACACCTATTTAGAGGAGAGTACATGGGCATAAAGAAACCTAAACAAAGTCAAAAAGCCCAGTATCTCTGAAGGAGGTGCCACCATTCATCCCTCAAATACTCCGTTCCCTGCAGTTATTGATCAGAGACCATGGCAGCCATTTTCTCCAAACCATGACTGTCGAGTCCATTAATCATGATCAACAGAGATTATCTGTTCCACTTTATCAAGTAAATGACAATCTCATCAAAAGAAAATGTGTGCACTCCCTGGAGGAGGAAGATACACCCTACTCATCTGTGAGTGAAATCAGTCTATGTGGCCAGAGTTGGAAGAGACCTAGACACCCACCCAATGGGACAAAGAACTATCAACATGATTTAACACAAATATGACATAAGCAGTTCAAAGGAGCTACTATAAAGTGGCTAAAGAACCCTTGACTATCTCCTGGGAAATCTATGCTAATTAACTTGATATTCTTTGCAAGGTGCTCACAGTTACCTAGGAAGAAAGTTGTGACATAAAAATATGCAATTCCCTTTAGTGTAATTTTTGTTTGCTGTTATTTGCACAAACAAATATCATTGGCATCCAAACTTTTTCGAACATTTAATCTGTGCCAGGCCCTGTGATAAGCATTTTGTATAAATTATTTCATTTAATCTTCACAATAACCTAACTACTTGGTATTATTATTATTAATATTATTATTATTATTATCCCTCTTCTATAGTTGAGGAAACTGAGGTGTGGAGAGGTTGAGTTGCCCAAGGACCTGCTGCCAGCAGCCACAGGAATGGGAATTAAAACTCAGGCAGTCTGACTACAGAGCCTAAATTCTTGAACATCATGTAATTGGCCTCATGAGTCTTCTATTCATTTGTAAGATCGTGAAACTAGTAACTTGGCATAGCAGTCTTTCAATCATAGATTTCAAAACACTTTTAAAACACATAGTATGTAGGCTTATACCTGTATGATCCAAATGAAGAAATGTTATGCCAGTGTTCGGCAGCACAGCTACAGACCACCTAAATCAGAATGACTGAGAGGAGTTTGTTTAAATACAGAGTACTAGGCCCCATCCCATACCTACCATATCAGAACTTGAGATGCGAAGAAGTCAGGGTGGGAATCTGCATTGTGAACAAGGCCTTCCGGTGGTATTTTTGCCCTTTGGGTTTTTTAGGGGGGTTTTTTTGGGGGGTTTATTATGTTCAGTTAGTCACTGTATAGTACATCATATTTTTGCCCTTTGAAGTCTGAGAACGATTCCCCTAGAATGGCACACCTTTGCATCCACAAAGCATAGCCTCATGCCTGTAAAACTTTAGAAAGAAAATTTATCTCTCCAGAATCAAAATACAGAGAAAATGTAAAGATCAATTTTAAGAGCCAGAAGATTCCCAGTAAGGCAGCCTCCTTAAAGATCCCTGGATGTATTTTAACATACTCATTTTAAGACATAAACCCACTTACCCAAACACATCATACTTTGCCCTGAGAACTGCCTTTCTCTGGAGACCAGAAATCTGGTTTATGAATATCACTTAAGCTGTTACTCAAAGCCTTCAGCACACACACAAACACACACACACACACTCAAACACACACACACATCCGTGCACGAGTTTGAGTAAACACTATGTAACCAGAAAATGAAATTGCTCTCAAATAACCATTATGACTTTTCTTATATGCTCACATTACAATAAAACTCAGAGTGAGAGCTATCAGTGGAGATGGAAATTACAGACCATGCGTTCTTCTACTATATATGAGCCCTTAAGGGTTGGGATGGCATTTTATTCCTCTTTACATCTCCAGTTTTAAGCACATAGTAGGCAATTAATCCAGTTTTGTGTTAAGAAAGAAGAAAGGAGACTTCAAATGAATCAGTAAGCAAATCAATTCCCTGATGAGAAGGAGCCTCACAGGTCATCTCTTACCCTACACAACCTTTGGACAAGACTGCTGTCCAAATACAAGAGAACACAGGAGAACAACCAACTTCACACTTTCTCAAATCTTGAAGCCATGCCTCCTTTCAACAAAAGATAATCACCCCAACTTCTGCAGCACACACATACAACCCAAAGTAAGCCTCCAAATGAAAAATGAAAACCAAAATAAAACATATTGAGGAAGGAAGAGAGAAAGAAGACAGATTGTGGTTAAAAAAATAAAAACAATAACAGTATACAACACACCAGGGGTTGGGAAAATATCAAATTTTCATTTTACAGCAAATATTGTGTTGAGTTTTGCTTCATTCTGCTATTCATGAGTTTCATATTCTTCCTTGCATTAAAACATATTTATCCTGCTTCATTCCCTCCAGTCTCCGTGCAACATGAATATTCACATAACCACTATAAGCTGCAAATGTGTACACACACACCACACACACACACACACACACACACACACACACACTGCTACATCACACTCAGAGATCAGTCTCTTAATTCTTGGGAGATCAGGTACTTAAATAATTTCTAAACTGCTGTGAAATGAATCCGAGGGATGATACTACTCAAACAGCATCAGAGAACCTGCGTGGGGTTGGTTTCCAGCCACTGAATAATTCTGACTTAATATATTCAAAACGTCTTACTCAGGTTCCCACACAGTCACATCAAACCATAAACATCCAGACCTTAAAGAGATCCTAGAATTGTCTGCTTCAGCATCCCTCATTTTGAGACAAGGAAATAAGCTCAAAGTGAAACTGCTTGCCCATAACCAGATGATATGTTGGTGCCTGAGCATCCAATCCAGTTGTCTTTCTACTGTGCCATATTGGGACCAATATTTTGCACTTAATAGATAGTTAGCTGGCAGTTCAACAAGAAAATTCACCTAGAGATCTCTTGGTAATGACTGCAAGATCTAAATTCAATTTCTATAAATAATTGCCAATTTTTGTTACAGTTCCTGAAGAATGCTGGACTCCAATATTCAATATTGTAATAAATGAATTCTAGCTCTTCTTTTTTGTTAACCTCTTTTTTAAGTGTTAGCAGCTAATGGAAATAAAATATTAAAAAGAACAGAGACTTTAAGGTTCAGAAAATCGACCAAGTAGGTATTCCCATTGGCTACATGCTTTCATTTCATAACTCCAACCCTGGCCATATTTGAAGAGGTGATATCCTCTAACCCAGTGCTTCTCAAACTTTAATGTCTCATAAACCTGAAAAAAATGCAAATTATGATTCAATAGGTTGGGGGGACTTGAAAGTCTGCATGTCCAACAAGCTCCCAGGTGAATTTGATGCTGCTGGTCACAGGACCACATTTTGAGTAGCATCCACAATGATCGAGGTATTGACACCACGCAAAACAAGGTGGCAAAGAGTAAAACATCAGTGAGCAGGGCCTGAAAGCAATCCTTAGAAAGAAAATGGCAGCACTGGCCAACCAAAGTTAGTTACCAGCTAATAAAATAATGCCCTCTGGGCCTTAGGTCTACCTTATCTAGACGTCAATGTCAGAAAAACCCACCATGTGATCATTCAATGGCAATAAGTTCTACTTATTCAGGAAATTCATCTCCAAGAAATAAATCAGGAAGCACAAAGGCAGTAGAGGTTGTAATTCTCTGCATTAATACTTGGGAGCAAAGAATAAATGAAACCAGAGCACTTTCAATTGCTTATAAATAATTTCAACACCAAGTACAGAGAAACAGATCTTTAACCATTCAGCCAAAGACTGCAACACCAGGTCCAGCCTATCCTTAGTTTACTAAACAAGCCAAACCATCATGTCTAACAACTTTGCTTGGAAAATAGGTTTTGTGCCAGATGGACATTTATTTCAGAAAATCAAATGGGCAACTTAATTTCAACCTTTCTGATTAAGCAGATCCTAGCCATTCTATGAACATGCGTCCAACCTTTCCCCCAGGGAATTTAGTGGTAACATGGAGAGCATGACCGTTTATTTGGCTTAAGGAACACATTAATTTATCTGGTTTATAGAATTTAAACATCTGACGAATGACAGTGGGGTTGATTTTATTCATCAGCTAATTGCTTTGCCACCTGGAGCTGAAGCTTTATATATGCAGCTTATAAAAGATCTGAAAAGGATCTCAATTATTCTTTAATTTGTTCCTTGAATATAAAGTAGGAAAATCTGGCTTAATCAAACATTGTCTCAATTCTACTGGGATATGTCTAGTTACCTTATAACAAGGTAAGCTTTCATTTAATCATATGATATGATAATTCCCCACTTTCAAGCCAAGTATCCTCTTAGTTACAATCAATTTTCCACTGAAAAAATAAACATTGTCTCTTGACTAAAATCCCAGTAGAGAAAAATAGCCCTTTTTAATGAAACTCGCTGCTAATACACCACACTAGGAATTTCTGTGTAGGAATCCATTAAACCCCTTAATTTGACATTGCTGGTAAATTGCAGAATAAAGCAAGTTCCATGAACAATTCTCTATGCACATGGCCATTCTTGGCACACATAGAAGAAATAGATAATGAGTGCACACACACACACACACACAAGCATTACTGGAATCTATTAAATCTCACTTAATAAATGTTTTAATCAAGTTAATTCTACAATTGATCTGGGAGGGGGAGGAGAAACTAGCAGTCATGCAATGTCTTTAATTGCACCGAGCGAATCTGAAATACCAGCATGTGCTTGAAGGCTGCTAAAAATCCCAAGACATAAAAGCAGTAACTGGCAGGCAACTGGGACACCTCCTGAAATGTAATCTTGCAACAAGCTGAAAGTTAAAAATGTAATGCCATTATTTTAATGACCCAGGGTATTATGGGTTTAAAGCCAAGTATTTGGCCCCCATCTTCCTCATCTCTTAAATGTCATACAGCTCCCGGGATGGGTCAAGTCAAGAGAACAGGGGGGCAGGCATGGCACAGGCTTCCTGGAGCAAAGCAGGTCAGCAACTCGCACCCCATCTGAGAAGAAGGGGGGCATCTGAGGCCTACGACAGGTGAATGGTAGAGGTACAGGCAGTCAGGTGACAATAGACACAGTCACTGGGAGCAGAGACTTGGATTCAAAGGTAGATCCCCTGTTCAGAGAAACCCTGCTGAAAACAAAGGAGAACTCAAATCCATGAGGAATTGTTCTGTGTGGTAAGTCAAGGTACCAGAAGAAAACTCAGGCAAGTGGGTATGTCACAAGCATCCAAAAGCAGACAAGGTTCCAAACAAGAGATTTGACCATAAGCAATAATGTACGGAACCAGGGAATGGCACAGGGATGCAATTTTAGAGTAAAACCAGCTGCATGTCATCATCTTCCAAAGCACTTAACACTGGGCCTTCCTTAGAAGTACTTTATTCACGGGGTGCCTGGGTGGCTCAGTCGTTAAGCATCTGCCTTCCGCTCAGGTCATGATCCCAGGGTCCTGGTATCAAGCCCCGCGTTGGGCTCCCTGCTCGCCAGGAAGCCTGCTTCTCCCTCTCCCACTCTGCCTGCTTGTGTTCCTGCTCTCTCTCTCTCTGTCAAATAAATAAATAAAATCTTTAAAAAAAGAAGTAGTTTATTCAATAAATAGTAAAGCGTAGTCAAATAAAGCCTTGAATATCAGGACTAAAAGAGATCCTAAGCAATACTAATCCACTGAATGCATGGATAACATGAGTCTTTCAGATGTCTAAAGACAGAATAATTTAGAAGGTAAGAACTTGGACTTTACAGTCAAAGTCCTAACCCTATAACTCAGTGGGTGTGTTT